ATGTGTATTGTCCCATACAAGAAATTGACGTCACTACATTTCTGCTACTCGACTAGCCACCCGAGGTTGGTGAGTCGAACTGATACTTGAATTCGAGCAACAAAGTTGTGCTCAGGATGAGGAGGTGGGTGAGTGCGTAGAAGAGAACCACCCCCCTGCTGTTCGCGGAGTATCACTTCCCAGTTTTATGAAATTCTAATTTGGTTCATCGCTGTAAAATACTGATGTAAGTTTCTGGTTTACATCCTTTCGTTCTTATTTTTCCCATCACTGTTTTCAAAGGTCTGGTATTCAAAAAATCGCAGAACTCTGCGCGCCTGTGGTACATGCAATTAAACGCCATATTGTGTTCACATTTTCAAGTCTCCTCAAAGGAGGCCAACTAAACAGCAACTGGCTGCAACAACCTCGTAATGCTGGAACAATGACGAACGCTATCTGGACCACACAATAGCTTCATGCGGGTTTGGGAACCTCGAGATCTCCCTCTGTGCTGGTTGACAGCTAATGTGACACGTGCAACGTGGCCGATGCTCCACAACCGTAATTGGAACTGACGGCACTGAAGATGTTATAAACTCGTGTGTTGTTCGCCTAAGATGGGCTGGTTTGGTCAGACAGTGAGCGACCATGTGCAGATAGTGATGACTTATGGCCTCGTGTTTACAATGGCGGTGAGGTCGCACATCGATTTAGTACAACTACTGTGATGCGACCAATAGCGGAAACGCACGTCCGAGCAAGCTGCAACTTGGGACTAGGCTGTACATATGCAAGTCGTTGGTCTTATTTGTCTTGTTTTGCCGTATTGAAACGCCAACCATGTACCAACATAGCGTCCGATAATTGAGCGGTTTCCACATGCGCTGTCTGTGACAGATACTTGGTATTTGCCGGACTGACGGCGTGCTAGACACAATGTCTTGCGAAAACCACCGGGACATCATTCTGGCGACCATAGCTTTCGAGGTGCTCTCTGGTGTTATCCTTCGCAGGTAGATCCACCATTGGCAGTTAAATTCGTTAGCATCAGACTGAGTTTCTTCCTAATCAAGGCTGCATCGATGATATCTTCACTTTGTGACAGGTTCTGGAATTCCGCCACTCCTTCCGGTGGTCAACAGTGATAGTTTTTATCGGTCTCAGATCTTCGGGAACGGTGACATTGTCTGATATCAGCTTAACTGTCAAGGGTAGAGCGTACACTCCCGTGGTCCGGTCTGTTCTACTTTATGAATCGGAGGCGTCGTCGCTGCATGTGGAATGTCTTCAGCAACTCTCTGTGTTTGATTATCGGTGTGTCCGAAGCGCTGCGCTGATGCGGTAGAGACATCAGATCAGCAATACTGAGGTATACTGCACGGCTTTCGGGAAAGTCACTCTCCCTAGATAGATCAGCAGGTCACATGCCACAGCTTACGCTGTATTGTTCATGTGTTTCGTCTGACAGAGGATAGTTTGCCTCGTAGAGCCCTCTTCGCCATGTATCGGATGGAGACGACCAAGAGGTGGTGAGTTGAAAAGAAAACCCTGGCCAGTCAACTTAGTCGCGTTGGTAACTAGTGTCTTCCTGGATAGGGTTCCCGAAATAAAATAAACTAATGGCAAGTGATCCTGATAGATATGGCTTTATGTGCCCAAGGTATATTTCGTGAGTGTTGCGGACCACCAGATGACCTTTTGTGTGCACTGTGGAGCTCGTCTGTTCAGGTATACCTGCCTGTATGGACAATTATGGATCACCAGTTGCATTAGAACTGTTCCCTTCTATTTGCCGGGTAGAAGAAGTTCAGCTGATTGTACATACGGCTCAGCGCAAACCCCATGTGGCATTATATGTTGTGCGCTGCATCTCCCTACGATATGGCAGGCTTATTCAGCCAGTCCAGTGTGTGTGTTTGTTATCGCCTGTGCAATCCCTAGTTCTTGCTTGGTAGCTTTCGGTTCATAGATCGCCGCGTATTCCTGATTCACAGTGTTAATTTGAGCCCAAATCGTGAGCACATACGCAACTCGGCTCGATTCTCGGGGTCAGAATTGTGGGTCGATTCCCAGGCTGACGTCCCTATTTCACCAACGCAACGTAACTGGATCTGCTTGCGAGCTCAACTGAGCATTGTGAGGAGTTTGTTCAGGAGCATCTGCAATCCGCCTTGAATTTTGCCGTGATACATTGTGGGAAGTTTATTTATGACAGTTTCTGTACGGAATGCAACCGCATGGTGTCTGCGACAGCCTTAAAATCAAATCTCCTAGATAGCCAACAATCGAATCATCGTTTCTGAAGGTGCAACCTGGCATAACTATTTCCGCTTCATACTGTCTCTCCCAACTTGCATGCCTTGTACTCTGTCAAAGGTGACATTCACAGAGCAAACGTTCCCACCAGTCTAACCCCGAGCCCAAAACAGGTCACATTTAATTGTAACGCAAGTGCGGCACTTTGACAAAATCAACGCCTCAGTTGTTGCTGCGAAAAGAGACCAACTTCCATGTAGGACAAAAAGCTCTCTTCTCCTTGCTGTCCTTCTGGTGATTGCTTTGTATAGCATAATTGAATGCTGATCAGAACCCATTTATATGTTAACTAGAAAGTGGATAGAAGTGGGAATCCATTTTACTTAAGGTGTTTTTCCTGCCGCTGAAGTCAGTCCATGATGAAAAGCCGAGAGGCGCTGTACATTTGTTTCATCCCTCTGGAGTCGTTCACTGTTTTTTTGGACTGTAGTAATCCTAGCATATGCCCTGAACGGTTCATTTTATGTAATTAGTATTCTGATTGTATAGCCTAGCGTGCCGTATAAATTACTGCCAGTGCACATGTAAACAATTGTTTCGAGCGCCAAATACCAAAACCTTGATTATAGTCTGTTCTGTGGTCTTTTTACTACCCGCTATACAGTTAGATACATGTTGCTCAACACCACTTGAAAGAATTCGCCTCGTCTTGGTGAATCCACCTAAATTGTGGTTGCTCCTTGGCAATGACTCACTTGTCTAAATCGCGTGAGATGAGAGAATTGTTTGTGGTGCAGGGACTTAGCGCAGAGTCATCGCAATCCGTCAGCAGCCTTCCAGTTCCCGGGGGTAATGTTCGTTGTGATTTGTTTGCCATCGCTGGTACGAAAAGCAATTTCCATCACCTCATCCATTCATTCGCCGGATGAGTCATTTCACAGCTGTTGCGCACACCACTTTTTGTATGATCTACTTACTTACAAAAGGCAAAACGAAATAGATTCATTCCACTTGTGCGTCATCATTTCGAGCTGGCAAGTTTATCAGACAGTTTTTCAACGTGCGAATGCCAGGATAAACTAAGAATGCATTTATTGCTTTTGACGTAGTTGGTTCTTCACATCTCACGCCTGGCGAAGCTTTTACTGCTGTTCAGGTGAAGCGAGGTGAATCACCCTAATCATGTTGCTCCGGGGCAAGACACAGACATGAACTGACAAGGTGATTACATACCCTGGTCAGTTGTCTGTCTGGATTAAGATTTACACTGGGCCATGTGTTGCGCTTCTGTTCGACAGGCTTGGCGGCTCCATAATTGCAGCAGTTTGACCTTGTTAGAATAGTAACAGCTGGGCTCCACACAAACTGTTGCTACCTTTGTTGTCTCGTTGTTTTCATACCTATCTTTGTGCGTGTGAACCAACGGAGACGAATGGTCGACCATGGTGCACTTTTGGCTGTGATACCAAACACAGGTGTGCCTGGTATTCGGTGGACTGACAGCAGCCTGTGTTAGTTATCTGCATCCGTGTTTCACCGTCTACCGTTTGAGTGGGTTTGGAGAAGTGGTAGAGCCGTTCTCTTATGATATCCCGATGCTTTCCACTCCATTTTTGTAAGCTTCTGGATATTACTATCTATATCAAACAGCATGACTTATTCTGTGTAGTCACAAAACTTTTGCCATCCTCTTGCCAAACTTGTTCAGCTTTAAGGCTCTTGTGGCAGGACACATTTTGAACACTTCCCTTTCACTTGCCGAGGTGAGGTGTTTTGTTTCTTGGGCCAGATGAGTCAAAATTGGTGATTATTTTTATGCTTGGTTGACTGAGCTTATTCGTGCGGAAATCTACATTTCAAGATGACGTGTCTACTGTATTGTCAATAGTGATAAAAAATCGGTTTGAAGAGACGCTTGAATTTATGTAAATATACCAAATAATTTGAACAGTTATCAATATTCCTCCTTCACAATCCAGTTCCAATTCGGCTTAATTGCTTGGAGAAGGCGTAAATCACAGTGTTCCATGACCCATCAAACCTTTCCCCAGATTCCTGTTCCGGTGGTTCTAGGCCTGTCTTGCTTCCAGTAATCCTTATCTGTGTCACATCCACCACAATGTATTAAAGATGGAGTGCTGATAAAAGCTTCCCTCATGCAACTCGAACTGTCCAGATCAGTGAACGAATCGGTGAAGTAGCTATCTCTCATTTATTTGAAGAAAAGACTAGTAAATCAAGTACAGCCCTAGCTGCCCACTTCCTAAACCGTTGAAACTTTACAGTATCAGCACTGATGGATAGCTTTCGCGTCACATCCGCAGCTTATGATCGCTTCACTGCTATTTCACCTGTTATTTAACCCGGTTAGAAGGCTTCCATGTGGAGCCGCGAAACCGGAACCCCAAGTTAGCACTAGTTAGAGGTTTATACATGCATGCACGTTTATCCGGTGCTAAGCTTACACACTTCCTGTCCATGTTATGTTGCAATTTGTCTAGGGTCCAGCTACTGTAGTCTCCTCGTGCTTCACTAGATGCACGTCACGTAAACTTCGTCTGGTTGACAACCGTTACCTCTCGCATGATACCCGTTGTGGACCTCGAACCGGAACACGTCAACTGATAGAAGCTTGAACCGATTTCGTCCTAGTTGTTAGCCTCTTACTGCTCCAATTTATTCACAGCTTTATCTGCTTCCTTTTATTCTGTATCTGTCGCACAGTCGATTGTTATTCTGCCTTCTTTTATTACCCTTGGTAGTCGAACTAGCGTTAATTATGGATCGGCTGTACAGTGGCGTGTGTTATGCTGGAATCGATACGGACCCAGAATTGAAGTACCCGAAAGGAGCGGGTCGCGTGGCTTTCTCAAACCAACAAAGTTACATTGCTGCCATTAGCGCTCGGTTTGTCCAACTGCAACACAACGAAATTGACAAACGAGTAAGTATAACTTTGTTATAATTTATTGTTGTATTCTGTATGTCTGGTTTTTCGGGCACTGTCTCTCGCATGAGTTTCCAGTTTCAATCTAGTTCTTCCATTGAATTCAAGTTTGGCGTTCACTACCAACTCGAAAAGCAGCTTCAGTTCCACATCATAGCTGATCCAATGGCACTTGTCCTTCTACGGCCAACTGTCCTAGATGCTGCTGTCATGGCCACCTAAATACTGGTCGATTCGAATATGACCGCTTGCGAGACACAATCTATCACCAGTGTTTTTCTTCGACGTTTCATATGTGATCGAATAAAAATGGGAGAGTCGACTGGGGTCTGATTAATACATTCAATTTATAATGAAGCAGACAACAGCCCGAAACTGTGAATCTTTTGGGGACCAGAGACTGTGAGTCCATTTTCCGTTATTCTAATAATAAATAGATCGTTCATCTGTAACACCCTTCCGGTACCTAGCTGCCGTTATACTAGTGGAAATTTATTGGCAAATTTGCCCATCTCACTTTTCGATGGGACTTTGCATTACTAGATACTGTCTTCCCATATGCACTATGTCCTCTCCTGTCTTGAAATATGTGGGTCACATGGGATTCAGTTCTGGTGAACTTCGTGATACTGATTGATAAACGCTGATAGGTGGCCAATTGTGTACCCACAAGATGCGCCTACGGGAAGAAGTAACAGTTGTGACTTCTGCAGCATTTTGGGGCAACTGGCAGTTGCATTTTTAGTGTATCTGGTTTCTTTGTATCAGACATTCATCCAGAAAATGAATTTGGTTTACCACTTTTGTTTTATTGATTATGAAATATACATACATACATTTTTATGCCAATATAGAACACCCTAAAACACAGTTACTTCAGTTCCGTGACGTTTTTCTTTGGAGGGGGCGGCAGTTCCGGAATGTTTGTACGTTGATTATTTCGAAAACCGTTGTGTTATTTCTCTTTCGGAATGAATCATTCATCAGTTCATCGTAAAGCTGACTACAGCAGAGCTCGCAAATGTGTAAATCTTTCTCTCAGCTGACGTTTGAGATACTTGATTAGCTGCTAGGTGACCCGAACAGCTTATCCTTTTTCTCCGCTGCCCAAGGTGTTTCCCATACCAACTGGCAAGGAGTCAGAATCCTCTCTGAAGGCTGCTTGAATTCAGCAAATTTTGCCCGTGTTCAATGCACGGGATCGATTAACTGATCATGATATAATTAGATACTGTGTCCACCCAGCTGAACATGGGTCCGTCTTATCTCCGAGGGATTTCCAGACAATCAATCTATAAGATTTTTGTGGAGTTGCCGTAGATCGTTGGCAACCGTTCTGTCGGTAGAAATGTATGTATTTGAGCCGCAAATGCCGTTGGTATCACAAAGTTAACTGACACTTGTCACTCCAAGTAAATGATGGCCAAGTTTTGTGTGTTTATTTACAATAACACCTGACTATTCTAGATAACTTTGATCCGTCAGGATAGTAATGATGAGGAGCGTCTTCCAGTATCACATGACTGTTGACTTTGACAAAGTATAGGCACTAGTAAAAGCTCCAGGGGATTTATTCTTGTGCGACCGCACTGTAGACATTCATCATGACTAAGAATTACCATACCAAAAAAGCTTCTAGGTGCATTGTTTTTTTTACTAGTTACGCACACTTTCTTTCCCTTACAGCTGGGATATCCTACCATTTACAGCCTTTCTTAAAATCTAGACTGCCTACTAGAATACAGCGCATGTTTCAATAAAGGCAGGTGTATGAACGTTCAGAACTATACGGTGAAAACCAACTTTTTATCCGCAACGCCAGTAGCAACTACCAACCTAGAGGCTTCGCTCCCTTGTCTTCGATAGTCCCGGTAGGATTCAGATTACACTTTAGAACCTACTTTTGTGTGAAGAGGGTTTTGAATTTTCGGACACTACCAGTGTCAAGCAAAGTGCCCAATGGCATAAACCTGACATCGAAGCTTGACTTGCCACCCATGCCATCCTGGCCTCTGTAATTCCACTCCATTTTTACTGTTAGGAAATATTTTCTTCCGGTTCGTACGAGTATCTCATTCCAAAATCGATGAATCACTATGGCCGATTCATTCACACGTTTAATAGGGATGTTTTCACCGAACACACCTGCCTTCAATGCCCGCGTGTTCGCGTGACTAAGTCGTCTGAACTTGCTTGCTCCGTTGGCTGAGATTTGACCAAAAGCCGGTTGCGGTTGCTTTCCCTGTACATGTGTACGTTCCGAACGGAATGATGTGTGTGTTTATACCTCGACACCGTCCCCTCTGGCCAGCTGAGTCTTGAAAGATGACGCGCACCCATCACTGGTTTGTGTGCGCTGAACAAATGTTGAATGTGTTCTTCGACGGTAGCTGACTAATCTGATGTATATGATGCTCGATGTTTCATTGTATCGAGCTGTCACAACATTCGACTGCTCACGCGCTATCGTTCCCCAATTTGTGCTGGGACGGATGGTTGTGTAGGTGTTCCACTTTTGCATCAGATTCAACGGTGTGCACACCGCTATTGTGCAAACCACACTGTTTCGTGGACCAATCCCAGTTTTTTTTACCGTGATATGACTCAATCTTAAATACTTTTCTAAAGTTTGAGCATCTAGAGAACTTATGCTATCCCGTCTGCTCATCGAGTGATATACTATAGTGTTTACGAATTTTTCGAAGAGCATTTTAGATGCTAACTCCTAATCTGCCAGATGACCGTCTCAGGGTAACTAACAATATCACGCACTTGTGACACCCAGCTGTGCTTGCGTCAACCGTGGCGTTGACTCATTTTCTTACCCTCTGCATGTGTGAATTTCTGGGGAAATCACACGGCTTACTTTGTCGATATCCTTCTAACTCAATTGTCTAACTGCTTACGCAGGTTTCTTTTTTTCCTCTTCATATGACAGCACTTTGAACGCGGCGTCATATGGATGCGCACAGCTCCTTATTCTGCCACCTCGCAGCAGCAGTTACATCGAAGTGGTTTAGGGAATAAGATGTGTTCACTGTCGTGCACAACGTCGAATTTGAGACTCTTACTCGCTAATCCAAGTGGGCGTTTACAATTAGCTGTCCTTCTCGGAAACATCTTGTAGCCCGAGTTCCATTTGAAAATAATTCTCAAGCACCTTTTGCGGGCACTGTTTGGGGAAGCAGCCCACTTGACTGAGTGAGCTGATAACCGAGTGTCATTGTTTTTTTGTGCCTTTTGTATCTCTATCTGAGGTTCTTTAGCTGTCCGGTTTAATACTGTTTACAAATTTCCAAATCACCCGACATTGTCCCCATGCGGGTCACCTAAATCACTCCACACTGTTTATTCCTGAAACTTAGCATACATCCTTTCCGGCTATCGACCCTACCCCACATGCCATACGTCGCTTGCAATTCGATACGCAGCTGCGCTTACCTGTGTGGATAGGTAGACGGTAGTCGTGCGCACGCGTTTTGCGTCGGAACAACCCAGTTTAAAGATAGAGTTGGCATGGCTGTTCGATACGCACACGCTCCGCCTATTGGTGCGCGGATTTGCTCGTTTTCTGCCAAGCCTGTGACAGTGGCTAACACCTGTTTGTCTCTCCACCACTGTTTTTATGGTGTCCCAAAATTATTCCAATTGCCGGAATTCGCCACAGTCACCTGAGTTTAGTAGCTGGACCTTCAATGCCAATTTTTGGTATGGGATTGTAAATGACCATCGTCCTCTTTAGATGTCAGCATTCTGGCAGAAATTTCCATCTCCATTTCGTCCATACCACCCGTGGATTTGTCACAAACGATTATACTTTTTTACCTGCAGCATTTAGACAATTCCGTTCATGCACTATTGATCCCACACACAAGGTGCTACTGTTCTATGAGCTGTCAAGTGCGACGTATCCGAACATTTCTTTTTCCTCTATTGACAGCCACCATGAAGTTTCCAACAGTGGTTACCCCTTTCCAGAGCGGTTACCAAAACTGGTACGCCAAGAATGGTTATAACACTACTAGCCTATCAGCAACAATATTGGTTGCCAGTAATAGAAGTTACTAATAGACCTTCAGATGTTTTTATGATCCTTTCAAGGATCTGATCTCCATTGGCTAATTAAAGAAGGGATAAGTATCTACAAGTACTCATTTTAAGTTCATCTGCAGCCAGTTTTTTTCCGGTTGATAGACTAATATATTTCGTTTTGTCGCAGAGAGATTAGTAATCGCAGTCGTTCGGTGCCTAGCTTCCATGCTACCCAAAGTAAACACGGGGGCTGGGATACTGCCAGGTTGCCCAAGCCTAGACAGGGGAGATCTAGATGCAGAGATCGAGCTCGAACCACGGACCTTCCGATCAGTAAATTCGCGCTCTAACCACTGAGCCATCTCGCCTTAGGCGCAGGCAGACTGGCTGTGAGTAGATGATCTGTTAGTGCTCAAAATGCTACAGTTAACCCATGGTGGAGATGCATGGTATTCGGATATCATGTCATTGAATTTATGAACAATTTAGGTTTGGTATGGATGCAACTGATTAGGACTGTGTTGCGTTGAGTGTGCAAATTATTACTAAGACCATGCTTACAAGATTGAAGAACACCCTTCAACAGCCCACTATTTGTGTCAATGCAGTTCATCTTCCCAAGTACGTATGACTTCTCCGCATGAAGCATCTACCCTTGCCTTTTCTTCCAACTCCATGTTTCCTTTGAGTCGGTTGAATGACTGCAAGCGAGTCCTTATCATCGTCAGGTGGTGTACAAATAAAAGCGGGAGCAACCTCGAGCTCTGTACGGCAGTGCCAAGTGGAATTTGTCGAGGATCGTAATAAACCAGACCCCTTACTAATTCGAATACGAAACAGACCTTCCACTTTGTTTTAGTGATCAGATGTGATCACCAATCTTTATGAGTTCCTCTACGTTTGAAGCCTGTTCTTAGCATACATCCTTTCCGGCTATCGACCCTACCCCACATGCCATACGTCGC